ATGACTCACAGGATTCATCACATAGTTGTACTCACATCACAGCTAAGGTTTATTACAGTGAAAGGATACATAATAGGGTCATAGGAGGAGAAACACACAGGTGAGGTCTGCAGGAATCCATGCAGGCTTCCTATAGACCTTCCCTCCTGTGAGGGACACATCAAGCATGATCCCTTGTCTAGCAGTGCACAATGCAACTGTGTGTTCAAAGTTTCTGCCCAGAAATCCTGTTAAAGACTCAGGGCCCAAGGATTTTATTGTCAGTGGTTGCCAAGGCATTTTCTGCCTGGCAACTACCAAAGTCTCAGACTCTCAGAAGAAGAACTCGTATACGAGAGAAATCACACCATCAGTCAGCTTTATCAGTTAGGAAACAGTTCAATTGCCAAATCTGCAGACCACCAGTCAGGCTCCTACCTTGCAAACTGACCTCTCCAAAACTAGCAGTGTCTGACCGCTATGATAACTCTTTTCATCACAGTGACAGAGTGGAGCTCATTCTGGAATGTAAGGAAAATACACCTAAGTGAAAACTTGAATCTGGACCCCCAAGCTGCTGTGTATACCCTCAAATCCCAGTGGCTGTTCCAGGCCTTCACTGGTCCAGGCTTTATGATTACTGTATGAATGCCATTCACTCTGCTAAACGAGCTCTAGTTGCTACCAAATTCCCTGCCAAGAATTTACCACCAACCATTGTGGTGTTGGAGAAGACTCTTGAGAGTCCCTTGGACTGCAAGAAGATCCAACCAGTCCATCCTAAAGGAAATCAGTCCTGAATATTCATTGGAAGGACTGATGGTGAAGCTGAAACGCTAATACTTTGGCCACCTGATTCGAAGAGTTGACTCATTGGAAAAGATCCTGATGCTGGGAAAGATTGAAGGCTGGAGGAGAAGGGGACGACAGATGAGATGGCTGGATGGCATCACCGACTCAATGGACACGAGTTTGGGTGGACTCTGGGAGTTGGTGACAGACAGGGAGGCCTGGTGTGCTGTGGATCATGAGGTCGCAGAGAGCTGGACACGACTGAGTGACTGAACTGAACTGAACTGAAAGTCAGTTCTTGAGTCAGAACACTGGGGTTTTCTCAGTTAGCCATGACATGAACAAGTCCCAATCCAAACAGAAATCATGCTTACGTCATGCATGAAATAGGCCACATTTACATTTACATTGGGGAGATCTACTTCCAGTGATCCAAAATGCTTGTGTTTCCAATTTGGGTACCACCTTTCTTAAGATACCAGGGTAGTGAGTCAGAGTTTGCTGATTTCCTGCTCCCCAGGAGAGGTGTTAGAAGAATATAGGCCAGTAGTGGGGCAGGGTTTCTAGAGCTTAGAGATCAGGAGATTCCAGAGCAGCTGCAGACGCCAGAGGGGAAGGCAGGAGGGCTGGTGGTTAAAAACCTCTCTGAGAATCCCCGCTGGCTTCCCTTTTAATGTGTACTGGTTTGCTAGTGCTGCCATAACAAGAACCACAAAGGGGCAGCTTAAGTGACAGAAACATATCGCCTCACAGCTCTGGAGCCCAGGAGTCCAGAGTCAGGGCACTGACAGGTTCAGCCGTGAGGGGAGAGCCGGCGCCACGCCCCTGCCCTTGGCTTGCGAGATGAGTGTCCCGAGGTTCACGCGGCACTCGCCCTGCGGGGCTGTCTGTGTCCACCTTTCTCCTCCTTAGACGGGTGCGGTTCACATCAGATTTCGGACCATGCTAATGTCTCAGTTTGACTTTACTATCTCCATAAAGACCCCATCTCCAAACGAGGTCACCCCCTGAGGTATTAGGGGTTAGGACTTCAGTGTATAAATTTTGGAGCACACAGTTCAACACATAACAACTTGGGAAAATGTAAGTGAAAATCAGAATTACTTTTAAATAACTTTCATTAGAGGATTGTGTTTCTTAGCACACTTTTATTTATGCAAACAACAGTCCAGGAATATCTGAGCTGTGTACAACAGATGGGCATAGTGGGAGAGGAGTGGGGAGGCGGAGGGTCAGGGGAAGCGGAGAAAGAAGGAAAAGAAAGAGGGGAGCAGTGAGCAAGGTCAGACGACCAAGCTGGCGGCAGGCTCAGAGATGAGTGGGAATGACAGCGCACCCAAGTTTGCTTTAATCTGGGTTTACTAAACCCACCAACAGGAAGTACAAAGTATATGCACACCTCACTGCAAACATTCCCCGGCCCCTCACAGCGTCACTCGAATCGCACTGGGGCGTCGGCAAGCCTGCTGGCTCCAACAGCTCCTCGAGCAGTGACTCCCTGCTTTCCCGCCATCAGGACGGATCGGGAGGGGTGCCATGCCGGTATTTACTGGTCCGCCCAAGAAGGAAATCCTCGCCAGCACGGTCACGAAATACTTGAGGCGCTGTTCCTGGCTTTACCGCCTCCGGGGCCCGACTGAGGGTTTCAGCACAGCACTGCTACTACGAAAGGAAGCCTGACCAGTGTCTGTTTTGCTCACTCAGGCAACACGTGCTCTATAAAAAGAGGCTGCCTCGAGTCAAAGAGAACTAAAGGGAGAGCCAGACTCTGCGGGTCCTCAGGGTCTCCCACCCCACTGCCAGCCAGCCAGCCATGCATGCCGCCAGGTCACAAACACGCAAAATGCAGAGTCACCCACGGCAGGGTGAGTTTCCCCAGACACAGCGCAGAGGCTGCAAAACAAACAGTGCCATGGCTGAAGCCTCAAAGAGAAAGGGAGACTCAGTTAATACACTGGTACCCGAGCTGGGCCTGGAGGAAACTACGGGCCCCACTGTGTGACCCCTGTTTTACAGAGCCAGGACGCCCAGTCTGAGGCAGGCCAGACCTGCCAGGGAGCAGAAGCAGGTTCCCCCTAGGTGATTCCAGTGCACGCACAACTTTGCGAACCCCTATTTAAATTCTACACCCCAGATCAATTTAGATTGGGCCCTAGGAGAATGAGCTTCCATTCTCTTACTAGCATGCTAAGTCACCTCAGCCGTGTCCGACTCTTTGCGATCCCATGGACAGTAGCCCGCCAGGCTTCTCTGTAATGGGGATTCTCCAGTTAAGAGTACTGGAGTGGATTGCCATTTCCTCCTCCAGGGGCTCTCACTAACACCTTATGTATATTATCCAGTAGAATAGCTGAGACCACAGGGACCAGCAGGGACAGGATTTACCGTCTGCATCGCCGAAGACCAGTCAACAGGGAGAAAAGCAAGTATGTTCACAGGACTGACTTAACCCTTCTGTGTATAATTCAAGTTCTTCTCATGTCTTCATTTGCTTTACGAGGTACAGACTTCCAGACCTTTCCCAAAATGGAGCCATCTAGACTGGATATGACTACCTTTGAATCCTATTTAGTTTAATCTGCATATTCTATTTTATCGTTAGCATGGGAAGGAGACCGAGTTGCCAGAGCAACCAGGAGTAGTGTTTAAAAGTCCAGCTTTTACTTTACCCCTGCTTGGTCAGTCTTGTTGTTTCTGGCTCACACATCCATGGTCACAGGAACACAGAACAGTGCAGTTCTACTGGTTGTTTCTCCCTCTCCTGCCTCTCCGTCAAGCCTTATGAACTTGCTGACTTTCTCCTAAATTTACCAGCATTATTTCTCAGTAGCTGACCTTGCTGCTTTGACTCCTTTCCGATTCACACTGCCCGCTGAGCGAAGCCCACCGCTGGGTTTACCTGGTTGCAGAGTCCAGCCTCCAGACAGGAGCTGGCTTACGCGGAGGACCCAGGTCGGGCTTCAGCGCTGCTCTGAGCGAGAGCCTGGGCCCACAAGTAGGAACTTGGCCCTGGCCTCCGCTCTGCTAGGCCTCCTGCACCGTCTCGGGTGACCCCTCTCCCTGGGGCCTCAGAACTCTGCTGTAGGATGAGGAGAACACAGCGAACCCTCAGAGCTTCCAGCTGGAGTATCCCAGGGATCCCCGTCTTCCTGTGTCAGACAAGTGACCACACAGTGTCGATTTCCTGGAAGCCAGTTCCAGTTTTGCAATCTCTGACACCACTGCCCACACACTGTGAGCATCCTGGTTCTTAAGCTGTGGTCCCAACTACTGATTTCACCAGTAGCTGAGAGGCCTTTGAAGGTACTCCCTGTCTGTCTTATCCATAATCGCACAGCTATTGTAGAACTTGGGGCCCTGGAATGCCCAATGAGCTGCCTCACCACTTCCAAAACCCCAGTTGAAAGGCACATCACACAGTGATCAGTACATGTTTGTTGAATGAATAAACACTATGCTTTCTGTACAAGCAAGAATTCCAGAGAATGAGCAGGGTTCAGGACAGGAGCAGAGAAAGCAACTTCTGCAGAACCAGAACTGAAGCTGGGAAACTCCTGGAGTGCACCCAATGATAGTGGGTGCTTTCTTGGAATTGTGGGGTTTTTGTTTTTTTTTTTAAGATATATTTATTTTTCTGTCTGGTGGGTGAGTCCTCATGGCTGATGCAGGCCTTCTCTAGTTGTGGATGGGCTGCTATCTAGTTGCGGGATGCAGGCTTCTTTTGTTGAGGAGCACAGGCTCTAGGCTCCTGGGCTGATAGGTGTGGTACACGGGCTTAGCTGCCCTGCAGCTTGTGGGATATTCCCGGACCAAGGGTTAAACTGGTGTCCCTTGGCATCGCAAGGCAGATTCTTAACCACTGGACCAGCAGGGAAGCCCCATATTGTTATTTTTAAGAGCTCTGTGTGAAAGCTCTGTTGTTGTGATACCCCTCCCTGGCCCTCAACCCAAGTACTTAATAACCCTATCTATGTGACTCCAGTCGGTAAGTCAGAGATCTGGAGTTAAATCCCAACCCTTCCACTTACAAGCAAAATGGTTTAAACTTCAGTTTCCCCTTATGTAAAATGGGGCAAATAGTAAATTCCTCATTAGGTTGTTGATTAAATAAAAAAAAAAATTCTAAAACTACTGAGAATGAGCACTCATTAACTGTTAGTTAATTAACAAAGCAACCATTGGATCTTCCTTCTCATTTGGACCTCCTCTTTGGTGGGAATTACGTTAAGTCATTTACAGCTAAGGAAAACGAGACCCCCAGGACAAGAGACACTCATGATCTCCCCTCTGATAAATGGCAGGGCCAGCAGGTGGACCCCGGTCAGAAGCACTTCCAAGCCTGGAAGATGGGGCAGTAAGCACAGTGAATTTAGAAGTCCTAGGAGGCCCCCCAGAGAGTGCAACAAGCTTCGTCCTGACTGGAAGCCGCCTGCTGCAGCATCTGAGGGACAGGGCAGTGCAGCTCTGGGGCTCCCCAGGGAGGAGCTTAGAGGATCAAGAGCAAGGCAGCACGTGCCCAGGAACTCCACACTGTACAGTGCTTCCTGCTGAAATAGCTTTGTAGACATTTTCAGTCATTTTAACTTGATGCCAACATTTGCATTTCAGAATTTTTTTTTTTCCAGTTCTTCCTTTGAGGGTATTAGCACCTGGAGAAGAAAAAAAAAAAGTGGCGTCTAGACTAAGACAGGTGTGAAAACAAACTATATAAGATGTCTCGCCTCTCCCAGGAATGGATTTCTTCTCATCTACTGTTTTACTGGAAGGCATTCAAGGCACTGTCAGGCCCAGAAACCTCGGTCTCTCCTTCCTTCACTAGCCTCAGGGACTCCTGGGCCCTTTTCCTAACATGGTTGCTCCCCAGTGACTTACAATGCTCAGCTCCAATTGCAGTTATCATGTAATTCACTTTCCCAGTTTTAAACTCAAGAGCTCTGTTCAGCATGTACTGGCTGTGTCTCTTCAGTGACGGCTGGAATTCTATCCCACAGTCAGGAAAGCCTGAGGATCTGGGGAGCCAAGGTAGCCTCAATGCAGGTAAATGTCCAATTTGTTAGGTTTTTGAAATTACTGTAAATGGCTCATGATCCCCTAGGACTCAAGAAACAAGTCTAAGAATCCCTATTTAAAAAGAAAGGAACATAAAATGTGATATATACACACAATGGAATATTATTCAGCCTTAAAAAAGAAGGAAATTCTGACATATGCTAAAACAGATCAATCTTGAGGACATGATGCTAAGTGGAATGAGTCATTCATAAAAGGACAAAATATTGTACGATTCTACTCACATGAGGTACTTAGCAAGTCAAATTCAGAGAGACAGAAAGTAGAATGGTGGCTGCCAGGGGCTGAGGGGAAGGGTGGCGGGGGGAGCAGAGCTATTATTTAGTGAGTTTAGAGTTTCAGTTTTGCAAGATGGAAGAGTTCTGGAGATGGATATTGGTGATGGTCGCACAAAAATGTGAATGTATTCAGTACCACTGACTCGCACACTTAAAAACTGCCAATGTGGTACATTTTATGTTATGTGTATTTTGCCACAATTTTTAAAATTGGAAAAAAAGAAAAAGGAACAGCTTGAACACGAAGACTCTCAGCTATGGTATTAGCATTGTATCATTAGAGCCAAAAACAGCTACATAATAGATGTTGTACATTTTTATGCCCAACCCCCACTGTTCCTTCTGTTGAATGAAGCATGTTGCTCTGCCACTGAAAACTTGTATTTTCTTAAAAATCACTGGCTCAGAAGTCAGTGACTTTCAGCAATCAGTCCACTAGAGACCACCGCTCTGCAGAGGCGGCTAACAGCAGCGCTGTGCAGAGAATTCACCCCTCACAACCAAACAGCTCCCCCAAGTGGCTTGAGCATCTCCCCCAGAGAAAATCCTCCAGACAAGAGGAACAGATTTCTTTTCCAAATTAAATGTGTGACTTTTAACTGTTCATGGTACTGTCAACATGAATATCAGAAAAAGAAAAATTCCACTATAGATCCTATCATCTTTCATTTCTTCCGAATGAAACTGACTTCTTCCTCTTAATGAAGATGCTTATTTCGTGCAATAATCAATAGCCAAGATCAGAAGGAATCACAATTTGCCACCTGTTAGGATTTACAAAAGAATGCATGCATACATACTCAGTCGTGTCTGACTCTTCTGCAACCCCATGGACTAGGGGGACCTGTCAGGCTCCTCTGTCCATGGGATTTCCCAGGCAAGAATGCTGGAGTGGGTTTCCATTCCCTTCTCCAGGGATCTTCCCAACCAAGGGATCGAGCCCATCGTTTCCTGTGTCTTCTGCATTAGCAGGAGGATTCTTTACCACTGAGCCATCCGGGAATTTACACTCACCCATGCATTGCCTAAGGGCTTCCCTGGTGGCTTAGAGGTTAAAGCGTCTGCCTGCAATGCGGGAGACCTGGGTTCGATCCCTGGGTCGGGAAGATCCCCTGGAGAAGGAAATGGCAACCCACTCCAGTACTCTTGCCTGGAGGACCCCATGGGCGGAGGAGCCTGACAGGCCACAGCCCACGGGGTCACAGAGTCCAACACAACCGAGTGACTTCATTTCACCATGTATCGCCTGAGGAAGATACACACTTTCACCACTTAAATTTGGCACTTTGGACCTGAAATTACTTTCAGCCAGGATATAAGAAAAACACTTATGAAACCGCTTACCTCTTCTAAAAAAATTTTAATAAGCTTAGAGAAAGATGTTTTCCAAATTACCAGTTTTTAAAACTAATATACTTCTTTATCATTTTGTGATTCTGCTGGACAACTAGGGTGTCTCACACGGACCCCTTAATCTTCAAACGTTCTGGCTCAGAGTCCTAGACTCGGAGTGTGCGCCTTTGAGCTGCTCCTGGTGTTTCCTAGGGTCTATCAGAAACCGAAGGCTGAGAGCCAGAAGGCAATATAAGCTAAGTGACACTTCAGAAACTTTTATTTTTGGTTAGAATCGTTAACAACTCAGTTTAGAAATTCTGGTATCTCACACTGATTATTAAGGTCTTTAATTTTCAAAATGAAACGAAATTTTATACAAGAAATCCAATTTATCAAATGAGTTATTTCAAAAGGGGTTTATTGACAAGTGATAAAATAGATGGAAACCCCTCATCTAGACTCACAGAATTAAGAACTAAACAAAACAAAAGGCAAAAACATTATCTGTGGCTTTAAAGACAAAGAACAGAATGAGCAAACATTTCATCCAAGATTTCTGGATGATTTCTATGACGATTCCGCTGGGTACCAGCTGCCTCTGAACACAGATCTGCCTGATGGAGTCATAGGCACACTCCTTGAAAACTACAGAACACTCAAAATGACAATCATCAGGATGGAAATACCTAGAAGTAAACAAGCCAAGGCCAATTACAGCATCTTGGATTTGAATGACTACATGGTCATGTAAGAAACTGTCAATCCAATCAAAAAAAAAAATCTCCACAAAACAATTTCTACGTATTTACTTGTAAATCTAAAGGCAGAGTGACTAAGTGCCCTAGCAGTCAGGCATCAGCAATAAGACTTGGTATAAATGAATTAAAAAGTTTATTAGCCATAGAAAAAAATTTGATTCTTTCATTGTTATTAAGTTCCCTGTAAAACAGTAAGCTTGCAGAAAATTTCTTCCTCATGAACAGAAAATCACTATGTTTTTGGTCCAAAATATGTTGGGATTTTTTCCTTTCTTCTTCAGATGACAGACAGATGGATGTAGCCAAATCTATGAACGAGTGTACTTGCCCCAAATGTGCAACATAAATACAGAAGCGATGAACAGAAGACTCATCACCAATACTGGAACAGGGCCCCTGGAAATAAGAAAAGAAGGCATGCTTAGTTTCAGTAGTAATACATTATAATATCTGTAATATTAAAGACGGCCTAGAGGAAAAGGGAGCGGAAAGCACCCAAGATCCAGCAAAGAATATAATTTAGATCGTTTAAAAATATTCCAAAAATTATTACTGTGGATATTTTGAGGGTGTGGTGACAGCATTGTGGTTATTTAGAAAGGAGGAATCCTTATCTTTTAATAAAACATACTAAAATATATACAGATAAAAGGATCTGTCTCAGAGATACTAGTCTCTCTGATTTTGTGCATTTGATATTTTTCCATAATTAAAAGTAATTTAAAAATTTTCGCAAACTCTTTAAGTGCAAATGAGCCAATTATCAAACTATTATTTCAAATTATAAAGACAACCTTCATTGTCTAAGTATAATAAACTAGGCATTCAAAGATGAATATCACATTATAAGTTATGAATTATTTTAAAATATATGATCCTGTATGATCAACAAACTCAAGACACAGGCGAAACAAATATTCATCTCATTTCATAAGGAAGAAAAACTGAGGCTCAGAGAGATTACTTGCCTCAGAAAACAGAGCCAGAATGGAAAGGAGGGATCTGAACTCAGCTTTTCTGATTCCATACATCGCTCATTTTACTGCTTTAAGGTTCCCATATTTCAGGAACAAACATTCTAGGCAACATAAAAAGTTTCACTTTTATTAGTTTACCATAAAGGAAGTATCAACAGATTTTACTCATCAGCCCTTCCCTAAATCAAATGTTTTCCAGGTTAAGAATTACTACATGGGTTTCTTAAAGGTAGAATTCCTTGGTTTTACACAACCTGTGAATGTTGACTTCAGTCAAAGGTTACGGGCCTGGCGTTTTTGACTCTTCTTGAAAACACCAGTTTTGGAGAATTCAAGATGTCACTTCACCTCTCAGATATAGCTGGGGGTGGACAAAGACCCCAGGAATCTTTATAATTAAGGCAGTAGAATAACCCAGCGGAGCAGCAGGTTAACAGTCAATCCACTAGTGGACAATAATCAATGCACAGGGATCCAAGTCCTTGGTACACAATGCTGTTCTTCCAAAATTTGTACAATTATGAGAGTAAGTAATTTTAAACGTCCACAGGAAGACATCATCATCACCATGCGCTGGGTCACACTCCCTCACTGTGAAGCACCGTTACAGTAACATCAGGCAGACAGCGTGAAGCTGAGAGGGCAGCGCTCACAGTCCAGGCGCTGGAGCCTGGAAGCCAGCTCTGGCCCTCACAAGCTGTGACTGTGACTCACCTTCTCCAAGCCTCAGTTTCCTCATCTGTAAAGTGGGGATACGCACAGCATCTCTTTCATAGGGTTGCTGAGCTATTAAACACACTCACACACCAGTCAGGCTGATAGTAAGCTCCCGGGAAATGCTATCATCAACCTGAAAAAACTTCTAACTCCCAGGAAGAGCCAACAAGCTCCAAGATGTGGATCTGTGTCCCGTCACCACAAACCTCTCTCTGTGGTATGACAAAACTGCGGTTTATGACGCTTCAAAGGAATGGCTTCTATGGCTTCCTGGGAGGACTCTCAGCAGCAGCAAGCCCCACTGCACAAGAGCCCAAAGCAAGCATTAGTCAAGACTCACCCACGTGAGGACAGTTGTTTTACCTCCTCGAGAAGGGTTAAAGTGTTGTTCCCAGGATACCCTGGAGAGCAACGGGTTTCAAACTCTCTCTCTGAAGTGCTCAGAAAAACTACCTCTAGCAAGGACCAGAATTCACATACCCCCAACCTCGAGAATTACTTCCTTAAAATACGTTCTCACCTTACAAGTCTTCATCGTAACAGAAAAAAAAAACCTCAATAAATAAAACCAAATCTCAAGAATTCTAGGGAAGTCTTCCTACATTAAATTTGTGATCCAGGTCAAGCTACTGGCCCAGTTAAATAAACTAACCCAAATGGAGCTGCCTGTCTTCTGTGTTGCCAAACAGACGGCATGGAAGTTAACAGTCAGAAGAGCTGGTTCCAGCTCTGGCTGGCCGTTGGTGTTTGACAAGTGGCTTTGCCTCCCTGAACCTGCGGTGCTATACAAATGGGAGTTGCTGCCATTATTCCAATTCCTCATGCACTGAATTTAGTCAGGAAAGAGCTGTAGTGGTGTCCACAGGCTTCTGTGATGACTCAGATGGTGAAGACTCTGCCCACAATGTGCGAGACCCAGGTTCGATTCCTGGGTTGGGAAGATCCCCAGGTGAAGGGAATGGCAACCTACTCCATCCAGTGTTCTTGCCTGGAGAACCCCATGGACAGAGGAGCCTGGCAGGCTATAGTCCACAGGGTCGCAAAGAGTCAGACACGACTGAGCGACTAACAGAGAGAGCGCGGGGCCCAGGAGTCCACCCGGTCAGACACCCTCGGGGTCAGGTCCACCAAAAGGTACCAGACAGGGCAGTGAGCAAGGCGTGCGGAGCAGTCCCGGGCTTAAGAACGTGGAAAGTGACAGGGGTCCAATCACCATCCACCAAAGGAAAGGAGGCCTAAGAACTTTTCAGCACAACCTAATGCAGAAACTCCCATTAGGCTGTAATAACATCAGCTTATGCCTCCAGGAGAGCTATGAAAAACCACCCAACTCCTCTTCAAATGGTTAGTCCTATCTCTCAGTGTGGGACAAGAACAGCAAATGAAGAGCAATTTCATCTAATTAAGCCATTTTCCCTCCGGTTCTCTCTGTTCCCATCATTTATTCTGACAGAGCTACATGAAGGTGTCGCCCTGCTCTCACTCAATGCGTGAACAGATGTCATTCTGAGCCCTAAAGTAACTGGCCGGTACATGAACCAACCAAACCCAGCCCGCCTGGCGCAGAGAAAGCGGCTGCGTATTATCACCCTCATCAGAGCAAACCCCATTGGGGGCAGAGACACAGCGCTGCCGAAAGGCTCTGCGACCCGGACAGAAGCACGGTGTGCTGCCAAGACTCACACTTTGAGCCCTGGGGAATCCTCGGTATAGAATCGCCACATCCCCCCGGTGCCCGCCGAGGTCGTCCGGCCCGCGCTCCTCGTTCCACAGCTGGCGTTCTTCCTGTGAGAGAAAACAGTGTGTTACCAACGGCCTTTTCCTGGAAACCCTTATCAGAACATTATGACATACGCTACCATTATATTTTTAAAGAACCAAAAAATTAACTTCCTTTGCTAATACCTTCCAAAGTTTTGCTTTGCCTCCACTGATCAGGATAACCATTAAGAATTTGAGTGCCTGCCATAGGCTGATGCATATAATAACCCATAAAACTATTCAGATTTAAAAACGACTGCTTTAAAATCTTTTCAAATTACTGAATTGTCTACAAAAGAGACCAAAAAAAAAAAAAACCACAAAACCGTAAGTTGTAATCCAGGTCTCAAAACAAGAGTACACATTTGTTGAAAAATTATTTTCTAGTCTGTTTTCACTATTTTGATATACTGACCATAGATCTCAGACAGAGGCAGGATGTGAAAATGCAGGAAATACCCAACCAGAACTCATCCCTCACAAGGGGGACCAAGCTTGTGAAATGAGCTGTGGGGGGCAGGCAGCCATGGCATACAGAAGCATGGGCAGCACCAATGCCACTGGCTGGCAGGGACCAGGGACTCCCTCCCGCCCCGCCTGGGGCGCTGGAAACCCTCCCCAGAAGCTCCCCGCTCCAGTTCCACTTCCCATCTCCACTAGAGAGTGAGAGTAGGACCCCTTGAAAAGAAGTAGTAAGTGTGAGAGAGGACACAAGAAACCTGCTTCAGCCCACTTATCACCAATTGATAAGTTCTAGGGAAGGCGAGAGGACGAGGAGAGATAGAAAGCCCTGTTTTATCACTGCCCCCCACCGTTAACCAAATCCTCAAAATCCTGCTCCGCTGCTGGTTCTGGATTTTTGAGCAGACAGACATACAGGGAGAGAGCAAAAGTGAACACCCTACCCCCACCATCTCTTCTCTGTCCTCCAAACTCCGATCCTGCTCCCACCTCGCCTTACCATGGACCTCACCCCACACTCTGAACGCAAGAAGCACTTGGGAGCCGGCACTGAGTGAAGGGTGGAGTCGTGGCTCCAGTGTGGGCTCTGGCAAAAAGAGCTGCGTTCATGTTAGAAATCTAAAAACAGCGTCAAACAATGATTTAAGTGCACTGTACTCAAAAGATTATATTTCAGGCATGTCAATCACGGGCCATGTGGTCAGCTGCGAACTTCTAACTCCATTTGTATGACTGTTTCTACGGGAAAACTGATTGTAAATATAATTACACAGAGATTGATAGACTAATTCATACCCAGATGATCTTTCACATACAGATACACATCATCTACTCGGTGGAGTAAGCACATGAAATCTGAACAAGATGATAAACCCAATGTGGACCTGACAAGTCTTCCGCTGAGCCAAGACTAGGACCCATGTACTTTCTACTACTCCCACTTCCACCCTATTCCAGTTCCTATCTTCAACATCTCAAGGAGCCCCCCACCCCCTCATGGAATCAGTCTAGCCTCTTTGGAGATTTCTTACATCTGCTGGCACACAGGACATTTTAATTTTAAACTAAACTTCTTTGGGGTCTATTTTACCCTTTCTTTCTGGCCACTGTGTCACTGGCTCTTCTATACCCTAACACAACGGTTTTCATCACCAGCATTTAACATACTTTGTTCTAACTTGGTGGTCTTCTGGCTGTTCCGTGGCATGATCTGCTCCCTCGTCTCTTTTAGGTTTCAAGTCACATGTCACCTACTCTGAACACCCTATCCCTACCCACTCTCTATTCTACACCCAACTTTTCTTCTTGCCCCTACTGCCTGAAATTATATATGTGCCTTGGCTATGGTCTCTTACATTGGAATATAAGGTTCAAAGGTCAAACCCTATCTAGCTTCTCCACAGATGCAGCCTCATGACAGGACCAGAGCCTGGCATGCATCCTCAAGTACCCATGTGATCACTTCCTTAATACCCCAGGCTAGTCCATCATCCTACTACCCCTGACTCCCAATAATCCTGAATACTGTAGCTTCTACAGCTTCACAGTTTATAATGCATTATTATTCCTTTTCATCCTAGCAACTTCCTTTTACATGGTAACAACAGAGACAGGACTGTAACCCTGGCCTGACCTTAAATCCCAGAGTTTCTTCTCCAAGGTACTACCTCTATTACCTCATTGAACATGGAGACAAGCTGCAAATCTGGAGCTATATAATGCATAGCACTATTACTATTAGCTTCAACTTTTTCTTACAAACTCACAAAAAGGGAACATACTCATAGACAGCCAATATCTATTATATCTCACTCATGAAGTAACACTTAAAAGAGTACCAAAATTCTAGAAGGGAACCCTGCAGGGTCTCTCAATACAACCATGGTCTATCTAGTTACACTGGCCCCAGCTACACCGGATTCTAAAAGATGACACCAACACCCACAACTTGATACACTACATACATCCTCCAATGTTTGTTTCTCCATTTCACTTGTGCAGCAATTATTTCACTTTTGTTAAGTAAATAATTTTGTTGTATTTAATAAGTACATGATCTCTTTTTTTTTTGCCCTATAAAAGTTCTCAGATGGCCCAACTTCCCTGCCACAATACTACTAATTCTCATTAACTAGACCCATTCCCCAAGGAACTGTACCTACCGTACAGTTTCCATTCCAGTACCAAGACTCTCTGAAACCCAGGGTGGAAACAAGACAGCAACCCAGGACCGAATAACCCACAGCACAGCTGGACGGTCCCTGCCTGGCCTTGAACATCTTGATGATGGGGCACAATGAGTCAGGATCATCTTAGCACTTCTGACAGTTCCACTAAAGGTTTTTTTTTGCTCTAAGATGAACTCTGTCTCAGGTGAGTTCATGTCGTCAGTTTTTGGCTTACTGCAGTCAATAAGCAAAGGCCCATCCCTCATCACCTCGTCACCTCCTTGAGGACAGTTTTCAGGTATCTGTTCAAGTTCTTTTCCTCTCTAGATAACAACCCCCCTTCCAAAAAAAAATCCCAAGACTACAGGGTGGTTTGAATCCTTCCTTCACTCACCTGTTGTTTTATGGTAAGACAGAGACAACAGGCAGTTTCTATCAAAGTCTAAGGAAGGAGATACATATGGAAACACAAATGCTATTAGAAGGGCATGAACAAAATGCTTGGGAGTAAAACAGAAGACTGGCAGCTACTGTTGCCTTTGGAGTTAGGAAGGCCTCTCGTGGAAATAACCTCTGAGCCTAGTCTTCAAGATATACAGAAACTTGGAGGGGTTCAAGAAACAGTGAGTTCAGAAAACAGTAATAACTCACTGTTGCTAGATCATAGAGAGGGAGAGAAGAGAATCAGTTAGACTGGAGGGAAAAAAGCACCACAAAGAGTCTTGGTGACCCTCTCCCCGGCCCCTGCAGTGAACTAACACTGAAGCTAATCAACAGTGTGACAGAATCAGAGAGGAGGACACATAAGAGTGCAAATTACCTGGAGAGGAGACAAGTTAGGCAGAAAACTTCTCTAGATGAGAGAAACTGAGGGCTAAACTGAGGCAGTAGAAAATGGAGAAGGAAAGAACTGAAGAGAAGGTTTTAGTGTGCAATATAAATGTATTGAATAAAGACTGAGCATTAAAAAAAAATCCAAGATGATGCTGAAGTTCTGGTTTGGGGCGAAAAGTACCATAAGGACGCAGGGAGACATAATTAGGGGCGGGAGCTGAGGTGAGAGGAGGCTGAACTGCGCAATCAACGAGTCAAGTTAGACTGGGTGTGTATGGGACTTCCAGATACAAATGTGCCAGGCTCGGGTCTAAAGATACCAGTTTAAGGACGTCAGTTTTCTCAATGCTGTGACCTTACTCCAGTTTAACTCTCCTTTTTCAGGAGTGATACTCAAAACTAAGCAAAGAAAATGTTGTCTCCCTCTCGAGACATAAAAGACCAAAAACTTTTTACCCGCATGACCACATTACAAGAAGCTCGTTTTGCCCTGATAAATCTTAACATTCCGGAGTCTCCTTCTCAAGACCAACGAATTCTTGGGCCCCATCCCTAGGAGGCCGCAGCCGAGAAGTGCGCAAGGGTCCTCACCTCTGCCGGACCGTGGATCCCGCCGCCCGGGCCGCCACTGCTTTGCTGGGAGAGCGCCCCGAGGAGCCCACGTTAGTGCCGCTGGGGGTCGGGCCAGGCTGCAGAAAGAGAAGGAGAGGCTGGTGAGCGCGGCCGGACAGCCCCCAGGTTCCGGGCCCTGACGGCCGAGGCCGGGACACGCACGGGGGCGCTGGGGAAGGCGAGGAAACTGCGGGAGGCAGGAATCGGGGCGCCCGGGAGGAAGCGGGACAAGGAGGGAGGCTGGGGCCACATACCATGTTGAAGACAGGAGGGCGGCCGGGAGCTGGAGTGAACTGCGGAGGAGCGGCAGAGCCTCGCAGCCAGAGAACTGACCCAGGTCCCGCCCCGAGACCTGCTGGCGGGGCCCTCGCTGACTCCAGGGACGCCTGGGCTGTCCCGCGATATGCCTGCAGCAATTCTGCTCCGAGAGGTTTGATGAGCGGCTGTATGGGAATTGCAGGCCTCCTGTACTTTTCCCGTGGGCTACAACGTCCTTCCTAGAACCAGGTTTCTTCCAGTGGGAAGATCTAGCCATGGTCAGACGAGAAGTTTCCTCCGGCAATTACTAGACACCCACAGATTGGCGCTGATGTGGCCTAACCGACGCACGCGCCGCGAGGGCCGGCTGGGAAGCCGGACCAGGGAGCCTGCGCGGAAGCCCTTCGGAGGGCTGGTGGCGCAGGCGTGGCTTCCGGGCCATGGCGGAGAAGCCGGGCCAAGATGCGGACTCGGCTCCTAAGCCAACCGTGTTGTTCCTGCACCCAGACCTGGGCGTGGGCGGCGCCGAGCGCCTGGTGCTCGACGCCGCGCTGGCGCTGCAGGCGCGCGGGTGTCGCGTGAAGATCTGGACGGCGCACTACGACCCGGGCCACTGCTTCGCGGAGAGCCGCGAGCTGCCGGTGCGCTGCGCCGGGGACTGGCTGCCTCGCAGCCTGGGCTGGGGCGGCCGTGGCGCCGCCGTCTGCGCCTACGTGCGCATGATCTTCCTGGCTCTCTACGTGCTGTTCCTGGGCGATGAGGAGTTCGACGTGGTCGTGTGCGACCAGGTGAGGCGGCCACGCGCGACCCTCGCGGCTCCCGCTGACTCAGACCTGCCAGGTGCCCCCCGCCCCCCAGGACCTCTGCTGACCCCTGGGTCTGTGGTTCGGAAAGGTGGGAACTGATCTGGAGAGGTTAGAGTGGGAGCGACGCCATGGAGCTCGAACTTTAGAGTGGCAGATTGCTTGGCCCCACCCTCCGGAGTTTTCATCCTGGGCCCCTGAGGTGTGCCCCCAAAATCTGCATTTTCACTGGATCGTCGGGTGATTGTGAAGCATATGGGACTTGGTGCTCGCTCTAAGGAACGCAAATATTAGAAACCAGCCTTCAGTCAAGTTTTACTTCTCAGTAACTTGTACGCCTTCCCTGTTGGCATTATTCCTGCTGACACCACTTCCAGGCTACACATACCCCATTATAACTTTCGCTGTCAAACCACCCTGTTCCTCAGTAGTGGATGTGTTTAAACACCCTAAGCTCAACATGTCATGTCCCTGTTAAAACGTTACCTTGGCTCCCCATTAGCCTTTGGAGAAAAGTCCAAGCCCATTACCTGGATCTGGACTCTAGCTATTCTAGACCCTTTTTATGTCTCCCCCCCAAAAAAAATTTTTTCATTGTAAAAAGTAACATTTACTCAGGACTGAAAATTCAAATACTGAGAAAGACGAATGTAAACCCCACCCTGGCTCCGCTCCCTAAAGACAGACACTGCTACCAGTTTCTCTGTGCATTCAGAAATTGTGGCTGTGCTAGCATATGATGTCTGTTTATAGATGCATCTTTTTATTTACAATGAGGATTATGACACACCCTACTCTTGGTCAGCTTGCTCTTTTTCACCAAAAAGTTTTGCTTAGGCCATCCTTACACATCAGTATTACAGATTCACTTCACTCTTCACAGTGACTGGAAAATCGCTTTTGTTCGACCGTTTCATACTTTATACATTTCTCTGCTAAAGGACAGTAGTAACGTGACCAGTTTTTTTGTGTGAATGAATCAGTTTTGGGTTTTTTGTGTGTTTTTTTGGCCGCACTGCACAACATGTAGGATCTAGTTCCCTGACGAGGGATGGAACCCACACCCCCTGCATTGAAAGAGCAATGTCTTGACCACTGGACCACCGAGAAGTCCCAGTTCAGGGTTGTAATAAACATAATAAACATCCTTATATCTTTATTTTTTTTGTATTTCTCTAAGCATTGTCCTTGAAATTCATAGAAATAAAACTGGTAGGTCAAAAGGTTGTGTGTCTTAAATGACAGTAGCTTGCAAACGTGCCTTCCCGAGAGGCTGTGTCATTCCAGTTTCCCACGGTGATAGAGCCTTTTACCTGGTGCTCTCCTGCACACTGGCTGTTGTAAACTATTTTAACCTTTGCCAGACTGACAGGTAGAAATGGCGTCATGTTTGTATCTGTATTAATTGTTACTTCTGAGTTACTTTTGTCATCCTTGCTTGTGTGCAGGTTATTTCTTTTTGAGAAACATGGGCATTTGCCAAGCAATCCACATATATAAAACTAGTCAGTAAGCATCAGGCAGCTGAGACTGCAGTGGATAAACAGCTTGGCCAGCCTGGATTCTAGTTCCATATCTGCTGCTTTCTAAGTAGCTTTGAATAAATCTCTCAATATCCATAAAGCTCACCTTTTTCAGGTGTTAAGTGAGCTAGAGATTAAGTGATTTGTAAAGATTACTCAACAGGAAGGAAAGTCTCTTGTGAGGATTATGGTTCACACTTCAGTAAGTACTGAGCACATAGTCGGAGAAGGCAATGGCGCCCCACTCCAGTACTCTTGCCTGGAAAATCCCATGGACGGAGGAGCCTGGTGGGCTGCGGTCCATGGGGTCGCTAAGAGTCGGACACGACTGAGCAACTTCCCTTTCACTTTTCACTTTGATGCATTGGAGAAGGAAATGGCAACCCTCTCCAGTGTTCTTGCCTGGAGAATCCCAGGGATGGGGGAGCCTGGTGGCTGCCGTCTATGGGATTGCACAGAATCGGACACAACTGAAGCGACTTAGCAGCAGCAGCAGAGCACACAGTGTGTGCTAAATTCTTACAGGTTTTACGTAACACGAGTGCACTTAATAATGACAAAAACTGTATATGTTTAAACTATAATTGTCATCACCTTACAGAAGAAGGCCCACAGAGGTAAATTACAGCTAGCTAGTAGAGCTGAAATTCAAGCCCTGGCAATCTTGATTCCACTCTAAACTACACTAAACTATAGTTCATTCATTCAGTTCCTTAGGAGGAGGTAGATTCTGGAGTGACTCCAGTGTGGTAGCCACTAGCCCTGGGTGACTATTAAACACTTGAAATGTGGCCAGCCTGAACTGAGATGTATTTTAAGAGTAAAATACACACCTGATTTTAAATATTTAATGTGATAAAAAGAATAGAAGACCTTATTAACTTCTTAACTATTGATTATGTTTGAAGTGATAATATTTTAGAATACATTAAAATTAACCTTTAAAAAGTCGTTGCGTAGTTACTAGACTTTTTTATTCCCATTGGACAGTGCTGTTCTAGAGGAAACCACTGGACTTGCAACTTTAAATATTTAGCATGTATCCAGAAAATGTCTCGCAGCCTTCTACACGCCAGGCGTTGTCCCAGGTGAGAGTCTGGGGGAACGAAAGCAAAAGCAGACGGTGCCCACAAGGGGCTGACGAACCAGGTGGCAGGGCCGGCGTCTGTTCATTCGATTTGGCTGAAGTTTAGTTGACCAGTCACCTCATCTCCTGATTTTTGCTTTGGCTAGGTGTCCGCCTGTATCCCCGTGTTCAAGCTGGCCAGACGGAGTAAGAAGATCCTGTTTTACTGTCACTTCCCAGATCTGCTGCTCACCAGGAGAGATTCTTTTATTAAACGCCTATACAGGGCCCCGATTGACTGGGTAGAGGAGTATACCACGGGCATGGCGGACTGCATCTTGGTCAACAGCCGATTCACAGCTGCCATTTTCAAGGAAACGTTCAAGTCCCTGTCTCACATAGACCCTGCCGTCCTCTACCCATCTCTGAATGTCGTCAGCTTTGACTCTGCTATTCCTGAAAAGCTCGATGGCATCGTCCCCCAGGGGAAAAAATTCATATTCCTCTCCATCAACAGATATGAAAGGAAGAAAAATCTGACTTTGGCCCTAGAAGCCCTTGTAAAGCTGCGTGGAAGATTGGCATCCCAAGATTGGGACAGAGTTCATCTGATCATTGCCGGTGGTTATGATGAGAGAGTCCCGGAGAACGTACAGCACTACCAGGAATTGAAGAAAATGGTCCAGCAGTCTGACCTGGGTCAGTATGTGACCTTCCTTCGGTCTTGCTCAGACGAACAGAAAATCTCACTCCTCCGAGGCTGCACGTGTGTGCTTTACACACCGAGCAATGAGCACTTTGGCATCGTGCCCTTGGAGGCCATGTACATGCAGTGCCCAGTCATCGCTGTTAATTCAGGTGGGCCCTTGGAGTCCATCGTCCACAGTGTCACAGGATTTCTGTGTGACCCTGACCCAGAGCACTTCTCAGAAGCAATAGAAAAGTTCATCCATGAACCTTCCTTAAAAGCCACAATGGGACTAGCTGGAAGAAACAGGGTGAAAGAGAAGTTTTCCCCTGAAGCATTTACTGAACAGCTTTACCAATATGTCACCAAACTGCTGATATAATCGTATTTTTTTTTAAGTCTTTATGCTGTATTCATTAATATCACATTTGTAGATGATGCACCCAGTTTTGAAACCAAAGAAAAAAACCTAGTGTCTAGTACAGAAGAAAAGTTTTTTAAATATACTTGAATCTGAGTCACTTTCCTCTCCTCCATACCTCCCAGACTACTTTTTCAGAAAAACAATATCTTTTATGCCATAATAATTCTGAGTATTACCAATGGTGATTAAGATATAAATGTGGTACAGTTCCATGTTCAGCAGAATAATTATATGTTCTCTAGATTACTGTTAGTCTACTTACAAACTTTGAGTCATACTGTGCCTTATTTGGTTTTAATACTTAAAGTGTATCATCAAACTTGATTAATTTGGCTCCATGAGAAGACAATTACTGTAGTTCCTAGAATCAGTCCCCCTCAGTGTTCAGTGACCTCTGTGAGGAAATTTTTGTTAGTCATACCTTTGCCTGGATCCATAGCAAGAATGCGCTGTGTTTTTTGTCTTTTTATGAAGATGATTTGTGTTTTGCACACAGATATGATAATAAAAGATATTTATCATAGGAAGAGAAAAAAATACTAGATCTCAGCCTCCGTGATCTATTGTGTGGTATTAGGAATGTAGACAGCCAAGCCTTAAGTCAGAAACTAGAGTAACTGGATACTGGAATGAAAGGCTCTTGTCGCGCATGTGGTATATATTTTGTTTAGGGCAGTGCAGCAGACCAGGGTTTGATCCCTGGGTCAGGAAGATCCCCTGGAGAAGGAAATGGCAAACCACTCCAGTATCCTCGCCTGGAAAACCCCAGGGACCGAGGCACCTGGGGGTGCTGCAGTCCGTGGGGTCACAAAGAGTTGGGCATGACTGAGCGAGTAACAGACTTTTGTTTCCTGGTGTCATCTGAGTCGTCAGCTTCATTAATATTCGTGTTTTATTAAGTAAGCACCTACTGAATGTAAAGCACTAGTGTTTTTTATCCTTCAAGGCCCAACTCCGATGCCACTGCTGGGGACCTTTCCTTGGCCCTCCACCCAACTCCCGAACTGGAAGCAGCCTTCCCCTTCCGCCTTTTCTGACACTCTCTCAGCACTCAGCAGTCTTAAAGCTGGTTATTTACCCGTTGGTCTAAGTGCATATGGGGCTCCCATGATGGCTCAGTGGTAGAGACTCTGCTTGCCCATGCAGGTGATGGCAAGTTCGATCCCTGGGTCAGGAAGTTCCCCTGGAGAAGGAAATGGCAACCCACTCCAGTATTCCTGCCTGGGAAATCCCATGGACAGAGGATCCCGTGGGCTACCGTCCATGAGGTTGCAAGAGCCAGATACCACCACCACCACCTAAGTACAAATAAACATAAAGCAGTTTTCAGTGTATCTTTAAAGCAAAATTCATTTTTAAAAAATAATAAAGATCACTGGCCAAAGGCTCCACATTAATCAACTCTGAGAGCAAAGACCTGAGAGCCTGAGTAACCGATGTGACTTCAGGCAAATTGCTTATCTCTGGCTCAGCTTCTTCGTCTGTAAAAGGAGTAACTCTTGTACTTTCCTCATAGGGTTGCGATGAGTTATCATATATTTGTAAAGTACTTAAAATAGTAATTGGCACACAGTATGGGCTATGTAAATGCTAGCTATTTTTGCACATTGGGGATATCAAAAATTACTACAGAAGTTCCACATGGGTACAGTTCTTTGAGGTTCTTTAGAGGATGGAGTTTCAGGTTGTGATTTGTCATGTCTGTCTATATGCCAGAAGTATTTTAATGAAATGACTATACCAGCAAGAAGCTCTCTAAAATGAGTGTCAGGTTTATTGAGTCTTATGGAATGAGAAGTTCAGTTGAGTTCTGTTTGGTGTTGTGAAAGCTTGCCATCCGGTAAAGTAGATCATTCCATCTTTTGTGGTTGGTACATGTGTTTCTCAGGGAACAGCAGCCTTTCCAGAAAGACCTGATGACTCTGTCCACTGGATTTAGGAAAGATAGACTCGGTCATGCTCTGAGACATAACTGATGCTTACCGATTCCAGGCACTAAAACTTTTGCTTACTTGACCATTTTTATGCCAATCCTTCCAAAGTGGACTACATGAGTTTGTGGGTCTTTCACTTCTCTTCATTGTCTTAAGCCGCTGCATGTTACAGTAAGACCACAGGTCTGGAAAGGATGTAGAGCCCAGCCTGAGCTTCCAGCCTCCGGGACCTAGGATGGAACTTTGCCCATAGGAGGAGTATTCACAGCTTCCAAAACTAAGCTGAAATTAGGGAGCAGAGAAGCGTGGAAGACTGGAGTAAACTGCCAGGATGTTAACATTAGTCATTCTAACACTTAACTGTGGCCCGTCTCAGACAGCTCCTTTAATCCTGACAGTTCTGTGAGGTTTCGGTGCTCTCCCCTTTAGAGAGAAGTATGGTTAAGCAGTTGCTTGTGTCACACAGCCTGGAGAGACGAGCAGCATCTCAAGGCTTTCTGATTGCTCAGGCCACCCACTCTACCTTCCTCAGCGTACCTCCGCCCTGCCCAAGCCCGCGTGTGTTCGTCCGGTCAGGAGTCCTCTACCCTGCTGCAGGCACAGTTGTTCACTCCGCCGGTTTAGGAAGGCTTTGTCACTCCTCTTCCCTTTTCAGAGCAATCTTGTAAGGTGGATATGATTGTCCGTCACTTTATACACGAGGAAGCTCGGAGAGATGAAAGACTTGCTGAAGGGCACAATTGAAAGTGAGTAGACCAGGATTTGACCCCGATTACCTGATCCATCCATGATGGCACTGTACCAGAATCTCTCAGCCAACTCCCCTTTGACAAGCATGAATATCATATCACCTTTAATACTTTGTGAAATTCAGAATAAGTACAGAATTCTTTGACTCAAAGCAAAGCTGGGGGACAGGATACTCTGTCTTCAGACTGGTGCTCTGAACCTAAAAGAGGTCCTGGTGTCCCACGCGCACCCCGTTGCCAGCCCCATGAGGAACCCTGCTCAGCAGCCCTCACGGACTGACTCTGGGTCATTCAAAGTTCTAGTGGAGTTATCAGGGTCATTTGCTTTCCCAAAGCAGAAATCCAGGCTGGTGTAGCTCAGAAGATTTTGGGTCGTTTGGTTTGTTTTTTTAATATTTTTTTATTTATTTGCTTGTGTCAGGCCTTAGTTTCATCATGCGGGATAGTTCCTGCAAGGGCACAGACTCTCTAGTTGTGGACTCCAGAGCGCTGGCTTCAGTAGTTACCACGGGGACTTAGCAGCCCCACAGCATGTGGGCTCTTAGCTCCCCAGCCAGGGATGGAAGCCACATCCTGGGCATTGCAATCCTGTGCAGATTCTCAGCCACTGAACCACCAGAGAGGTCACTCAGAGGGTTTTAAGAGCTGGGTGTTTGAAAGAATCCATGCCAGAAAATACTGTCATGCCATCCCCCTGCTCCCCGAGCCTGAGAGAGCTGGAGGTGGGAGATGAAAAGTTCTTTCTCAGGCATTCTCTTTCAGAGAGGTGACTGTTCTCCCATGTCGGCTCATTCCCATATGCACGTGGATGCAACTCTTGACCCCTATTGCCCTTCATGGATCTCTACCAGTTAGCTCAGCTTCTACACACACACACACACACACACACACGCAAGTTGGAGGTGGGTGTCCAGTCATGTACATAGAGAAGATATCCACTCGGTCAGCTAAGGGGGAGCAGTATTGTGGTTCTTCCTGTTTGGAAAGGATCTAATGACTAATGATACTGAAGTCCTGTTAGGGAAGGCTTTAGAGTTGGCAGAGCTCTCTTTTTTTTTTTGGTAAGTTTATTTATTTTAATTGGAGGCTAAGACTCTTGAGGGTCCCTTGGACTGCAAGGAGATCCATCCCAGTCCATCCTAAAGGAGATCAGTCCTGGGTGTTCATTGGAAGGACTGATGCTGCAGCTGAAACTCCCAACACTTTGGCCACCTGATGCAAAGAGTTGACTCATTGGAAAAGACCCTGATGCTGGGAAAGATTGAGGGCAGGAGGAGAAGGGGATGACAGAGGATGAGATGGCTGGATGGCATCCCCAACTCCATGGACATGAGTTTGAGTAAACTCTGGGAGATGGTGATGGACAGGGAGGCCTGGCATGCTGCGGTTCGTGGGGTCGCAAAGAGTCGGACACGACTGAGCGACTGAACTGAACTGAACTACTTATAGAACATGGAAAAATAGAATTTAAGATGCTTAGTTATAGAGTATTTGTGTGCTTAAGGATACTGTGTTTGTGGGGTAGGTTGTGGCAGAGCTCTTCTCAGCATCATTCCAGGTGATCATTGTAGCCTTGCTCACTGTGGAGAAGCTGAGGCTTGCAGCTCTGAAGCCCTGGGCCGGGTCGAGAACTCTTTCAGTTGTGCTATGGGTGCCTCATCAGTAGATGCCTTGCCACCTTCTCCCCAGCCCAGGATGCCAGTTTCACTTTCACTGTCTTCTTCCTTGAAGGAAATGAGGCAGTTGTATACCTCCCCGGCCTGCTTTCTGCTCATCCCCCGTTCCTGTTGATCATCAGCCCTTCTCCCTCCTCCTCGACCAGCATCACTGTTGTGGGACCTCCTTTCTTTGCATATCCAGGTCCCAGAATCACGTCCACTCAGAGCTGACTAGGGCCCCAGAAATCCCCCAACCTAACGTGCTCTTCCGTGGGTGGGAATTCTGGCCCCCAGAGCACGGGACCTGCCTGAAGTCACACGGGGACCGTTGAAGCCCTCTCTAAGTTCGTTCTGCAGCGCCTCCCGCCTCGTCCGCCGTCAGAAGCCCCTTACTCAGATCACTGAACTCCGTCCTCCTTCATGCCCAGCCTCAGTCCCCCGCAGCGGAAGCCCCAGCGGCCTGCGAGGCTGCCACTGTCCTGACGCCAGCGCTCCCGTGCCTGCTCGCCGAGGGACGGGGGGCTGAGCTCGTGACAGCTGTCCTCTGGTTAAACGGGAGCCCTGGGGAGCGGGGATGGGCAGAGATGTTACCAGCACCAATGGCTGCTGGAGCCAGCACTGTCCTTGCCCAGAGGACGGGCATTGGGTGGAGCTCACAGTAAGGGTCAGCCAGTCTGGTGATCCAGAGACAGGGTCAGAAGCAAGTGCTGAACTGTTCTCTTGGCCAGCCACTGATGTCTTCTGAGACGAACACAGCCTAGACGTCTCTCGGGGGTTACGTGTATGTATGTGTGTATCTGTGTGTGTTGGGGTTTGGTGGGGGGCTGGCGGGGGACAGGCATAGCACAGTTGTGATTTACCTTTGTGACCTGTCACTCACCCAAGAAATGGACAGGCAGAGTTAGAACTGACTGCTAAGTTGATGATTCCAGGTCAGCCTTTACTTTTCTGTATTACTAAAGCCAGAATTTCGGGGCTCCACAGCTATTGAGAAGATGTCCTAAGGTGGCAGTCCTCAAGTCTGGGTTTCTTTATCTGTAAAATGGGTATAATCAGGTCTCAGAAGCCCACCCCATAATGTGCTTGTGAAGAGTCAGAGGACTGAATGAAATGATTCAGTGACACTCAGGATGTGAAGCTGACGTGTAAACTGTAGAGTGCCGTAGAATAGAGTGCTGAAATACATCTGCACCTGGGGTCAGTTAATTTCTACCAAGAACTGTTACCTCATACTACATGCAGAAACGAACTTGAAGCGGATCATAGGCCTAAACATAAAAGACAGACTGAAGAAGTTGGAAAAGAAAATCTCCACAGCCTTTGGGGTAGGCAAAGATTTCTTTGATAGGATACAAAAAGCACAAAACATAAAAGGGAAAATTGGTAAGTTGATTTCATCAAAGTTAAAAACTGCTTTTCAAAGGACACTGATGTACAAAAAAAATTAAAAAGTCACAGGCTCGAAGAAAATATTTTATATATCTGATAAAGACTTGCACCCAGGATATGTGAAGAAGTCTCACAACAAGAGAACAAACAACCCACATGTTTTTATCAGGGAAAGATTTGAAGGGCCATTTCACAGAAGCTCTACAAATGGCCAATAAGCACATGATGAGATGTTCAACATCAGTGGTTCCAAACGAAGTGCAGATCAAAACCGCAGTGAGATATCTGCACACCCATAAAACTGAAGACTCAGTAAAAACGGTGAGAGTGTGGAGACCCTGAACTTCTCACACGTCGGTCTGAGAAGGAATAGGAAATGGAATCAACTCAGAACAACAGTTTGGAAGCTCTGTACAAAGTTAAACATGACACCATACAACCCATCAATTCCACTTCTAGAAATTTTGTCTAAAATAAGTGAAAACGTGTTTAAACGGTGAACAGATAAACAAATTGTGGCACGTTCATGGGATGGGCTATTTCTCAGCAATAAAGAAGGAGCGAAATGCTGATGAGCCCAGTGATGTGGATGAATCTCAGAAGTATGCTAAGTGGAAGTCAGACACAGGAAGAATTCGTATTGTATAATTCCATGAATATGAAACCTTAAGCAAAGAAAAAGCAAAGTTAATCTATAGTGACAGAAAGCTGATTACTGCCTGTGGCCCAGGATGAGAGATTGACTAGGAAAGGGCACAAAGGAGCTTTTTGATATGATGGAAATGTCCTATATCTTTATTATGGTGGTGGTTATAAGGGTTTCTACTGTATGCTTAAAATGAGTACATGTTATTGCATGTCAGTTATATGTCATTAAGTTGATTTTTTTTTAAAAAGCACATGTGATGTCCCATTTTTTTGTAGAAAATAAAAGTCTTGTAAATGAATAAATGTGAGAATGTATTTGTATGTGTTGTTTATATTGTTGTTCAATTGCTAAGTTGTGTCCAACTGTTTGTGACCCCGTGAACTATAGCATGCCAAGCTTCCCTGTCCTTACTGTTTCCTGGAATTTGCTCAGACTCATTCCATTGAGTCAGTAAGGCTCCCTAACCATCTCATCCTGTTGCCCCCTTCTGCTCTTGCCCTCAGTCTTTCCCAGCATCAGGGTCTTTTCCAGTGAATCAACTCTTCACATCAGGTGGCCAAAGTATTGGAGTTTCAGCTTCAGCATCAGTCCTTCCAGTGGATGTTCAAGGTCGATTTCCTTTGGGAGTGACTGGTTTGATCTTGCAGCCCAGTCGGTTCTCGAGAGTCTTCTCCGGCACCACAGTTCCAAAGCATCAATTTTCCAGCGCTCCTCCTTCTTTATGGTCCAGCTTGCACATCTCTGCATGACTGCTGGAAGGACCACAGCTTTGACGATATGGACCTTTGTTGGCAAAGTGACATCTCTGCTCTTTAATCCACTGCCTAGGTTTGTCATAGCTTCTCTGCCAAGGAGCAAGTGTCTTTTAATTTCATGGCTGCAGTCACTGTCCGCAGTGATTTTAGAGTCCAAGAAAATAAAACCTGCCACTGTTTCTACTTTTTCCCTATATTTGCCATGAAGTGATGGGACTGGATGCCATGATCTTAGTTTTTTGAATGTTGAGTTTTAAGTCAGCTTTTTTACTCTTCTCTTTAACACTCATCAAGAGGCTCTTTAGTTCCTCTTCATTTCCTGCCATAAGGGTGGTGTCATCTGCATATTTGAGGTTGTTTATATTTTTCCCAGCAATCAGATGGGTGTGATTAATCAGTAGGCATTAAAATCTTATTTTGTTTGCTTATATTTTCTGATACTCCATAAGCTGATTTTCTCATAAAATTAAAAATTCAAATATAAAAGAAAACAAAATCTTATTGGTCACTTAGTTCTTACAGTATATTTTTAGACATTTGTGTTTCCAACTGTTGCCCTATTTGGGATGTATCATTTGTCCTGATTAATTCCTTACTATTAGGATTGCTCCAGTTGTTTGCTACTGTAAGCAGCCTAGCAGGAAAATTATTAACTTTAAATTCTAAAGGCAAATATTAAAATTTTTAAAAGCAAAAACAAGGAAAATCAGAAAAAAGTAGGCATGTGAAAAGGTTGCAAAACTTCAATAATACAAAAAGATAGAAATTTTCAAAAACAAAATCACTAACTGATGATGTTTATTTTCAAACTGAGTTACCTTGTTGTCCACCTTGCTTTCAGCCAAATTATATGTTCCCTTTCACTGTGGGACCTCAACACCTAAGTTAGCAATTCAGTAACTCATACTAAAAAGCAGAGACCTTACTTTGTCAACAAAGGTCCGTCTTGTCAAGACTATGGTTTTTTCAGTGGTCATGTATAGATATGAGAGTTGAACTATAAAGAAAGCTGAGCACTGAAGAATTGATGCTTTTGAACTGTGCTGCTGGAGAAGACTCTTGAGAGTCCCTTGGACTGCAAGGAGATCCAACCAGTCCATCCTAAAGGAGATCAGTCCTGGGTGTTCATTGGAGGGACTGATGCTGAAGCTGAAACTCCAATACTTTCGGCACCTGATGCAAAAAGCTGACTCATTTGAAAAGACCCTGATGCTGGGAAAGATTGAAGGCAGGAGGAGAAGGGGACGACAGAGGATGAGATGGTTGGATGGCATCACCGACTCGATGGACATGAGTTTGAGTAGTCTCCGGGAGTTGGTGATGGACAGGGAGGCCTGGCACGCTGCAGTCAATGGGGTCGCAAAGAGTCTGACACTACTGAGCGTCTGAACTGAACTGAACTGAACTAGTAAAATATCATACATCAGGACATACCACTAAATGTCTTTTTAACATAGATAAAACTTTAACAAGGTAACTGTATTAGAACTCTTTTTTTTTTTTGTATTAGAACTCTTGATTGCAAGTGACAGAAACCCAATTGTAGCTAATGCAGAAAAAGGGAATTTATTTAGGAAAGGATAGATGATTCAAGGAAAAAATTGCGTAAGTGAAGTGGGAAATGGTAGGCCTGAGGTTCAGATGGAGCTAGGAATTCACATGCTATCAGAAAACCAGTTTTGACATAATACATGACATCACTGTCTTTCATTGTAGGCTAGTTTCTCATGGCAGGAAACATGACCACCAATAGCAGTGGAGAACCTCCATCTTACTGTTTGCATCACCAGAGAGGAACCAGCCTTCTTTATCAGCATGTGAAAGGACATCATCAAAGGACAATGATGGAGCCTTCTTGCTTCAGGTATCTTCCCCAAAAGTAAGGAAGCAAGTCAGGAGGCAAGGTACTGTTGTTTGCTGGGCTCGGGTGGGCCCCCGTCCGCCGTGGGCAGGACCTGAGGTCACAGTGGGAGGAATCACGTAGCTGGGAGAAGGGTCCAGGAGGGTCCAGAGGAAGGAGGAGGAAGCAGTTCGCAGGAGGTGAGCTGGGGATAAAACGGGTGCAAAGCTGAAGCTGTCACACTCAAGGAGCCCTGCAGACAAGCCACGCCTCCCATACGCCTCTGGCCCTTTGCTTCCGCTTCCGCAGCACATCTGGCTGATGTCTGTTCACAGCCAACCGCCTGCAGGGGCTTGGGGACAGAGACATGAAGTCAGCAGCTCCACACTCTGACTCTGCATTGCTTGATGTGAATGTTGCCAGACCTGACTTTATTTTACTCATTTCCGTTTTGAATATTCCACTTTTTATTTTTATTTATCTAACAAGCAGAGAAACCTTGTATTTAAGGGCTTTTTACCTCAGATCTAAGAGTATTGGCCTTTAATGATTCATTATATATATTTTTTAAGTCGTTAAGGATGACTGGTAATTTTTATTATACCTTCATTAAACAGAAGTGCATCATCCTTTGTACCTTCTTTTTCTGTTTCTTAATAAAAGACACTTGCTTTTCCTTTCCCCTTCTTCATTCTTTTGATCTGCATTGATGTATGCCAGTAGCCCATTATTTTAGTAAAATAATTTCTTCCAAATATTTTAATCTTTTGATGTCAATTTTGACAAGATACTTGCTGCAGTTGTTTAGAATTATTTCAATGCAATCAACTGGTCTCACCACTTCCTGCAAGTTCTTGTCTGCCATTCTTGAGTTCCTCCTTCAGAGCTATCATCCTCTTCCTAAGAATACA